CTCTCCATCAAAATTGGGCCAAATCTCATTGTCACCTGTTAGGTGCTCAAGGCTGTTACCAACGACAGCGCTCCTTCCCAAGAGGAATTTCGTGGGCTTGGGCTGAATACGTCAGACAAGTGAGCATAAGCAATAAGTGGTCAATGCGACCGTTCATTGCTATCACAGCCCATACAAGTAAGCCTCCTCCTCTGTCATGGTCTCTTTCGTCGATGCGCCCGATAATGTTATAAGGTACTTCTCCCACCTTCTTAGCGTGTTTTCGTGGTGTGGTGGTCTGCACGCTGGGCGCGTATTCCAGAGGTCTGTGGTTCGATTTCCGGCGAAAGCATTGCTCCTTTTTCATCTTGCCTGCTTCCAAAAAATACCTGACGTCTCTACAATGTGTCCCCGGCTCTCGCTATTTCGCCATGTCATTGCTCCTCGGGAATCGTCCCGGAAGTTAAGTCGAGACTAATCCATAAAGAGTACGTAGCTCCATTGCTCTGGTATCCAACTGCGATTACGGGCCCAATTCAACCGCGCTCTGACATGCAATGGGAACAAAGGAACACAAATCACAGGTCTTCGTTTGTACAGTCCACCTTCATGCAGTCGACGCGACACAGTTTGGCGGGATATGAGCCATCCTGCAACAGCAGAAAACCAGTCTACACACACCCATATATATATATAAATTAATAAAGTAGTCAATAGTGCATTTTACAAAAATGAAGAATGAACTAACAAGTCCAAAATTAGCGTTTAGTGCTGCTAAATTTTATAAATGAATTATTAGGATTAAAATAGGGATAGGTTACCCTAAAATAGGGATAGGTTGGGATTGAAATAGGGATAGGTTAGGATTAAAATAAGGATAGGTTACCTTCAGGTATTCTTACGCTTTTTCGAGGTATTTTTAATCCTAACTCTTTAAGGTTCATATACTATATATATGTGTGTGTAGTCAAATATTAACTTATTTATTATTTACTTAATATTTATATTAAATTAAAAATTTAAATTCTGAATTAGAATTTAATGGGATTACTGTGATTACACTTGTTAAGTGATATCGGAAAAATCTGGTTTTTATGTCCCCTGTTTACGCAATTCGAAGAACTGGTTCTAACCTTTAATTTATTTCTGTATTTAATTTTAATTGCTGTCATTGCTGAAAACGCTACTTCACACAGGTATGTAATATGTTTTGAAGTTGAGCTCCCCAGACGCTAGTGAAACCAGACACAGAGAATCTCGTATTCATGTGATACATTGTTATATCCAGTGATAGGTTATTGAGAGCCTACTTCTTTGGTGTGATCCAGACCACTGATCTACGGCGTCTTGCACATAGCAACAGGAAGCGATCATCTACCGTTGTGGTAATAATTCGGCGTCTAGACTCATGTCTTCTAAAAGGGTTTTGATCCCTTTGGAAACGATTCCACAGCCTGTTGATAACAGTACGATGCACATTCAGCTCTCTTGCAACAGCGGATTGTCTTGCGCCAACTTGCAATATCCGACAGCCCTCCAACGCATTTCATTGTACAAAATGGTGTCTTTAGCTCATGTTTTGCGCTCCAGCTGTCTCGGATTACATGGAATTATCGCTGCTTGCGAACTGACTTTTAGGTCCGGCATGTCCCTTTTTAGGCATTGTGGTGGGACTGCGGGATTGCGTTTTATGCTAAGTTTGGTTGCCTATTTGCATTCGACGATGCAACCTCTACCTTATATGTAAATTGTACTCGTTAATTCCCCTTTTTACATTCGTTCCTTTTCTTTTAGCGTTTATTGCTTATTCTTTCAGCCCGAAAGTAGTACATAAGGTGAAACATCATCGAACTTCTGGTAATGAGTTATTGTCAGAAATTGTTATTCAAAAATATTTGCGTTTTTAAAATTCTTTATCAAAATCATTCTAAAAACGCGTTAAAACTTTTTGCATTAAATTTGTTAAAAACAATTTTCTCTTTGACACTTTTCTCTAAATAAAAATTAAATTAAAATAAAGATAGCATAAGGCTATCATTTTCCATCCTTATTTTACAGTTCTTTTATCCTTTAGTTTACTTTTTCACATATCATGAGGTCATTTGCATATTTTTTACTTTTTTCTTCCCCAGTGAAATAAATAATAGATGGTATCATCAATAATAACAGTTGATACTATCAACTAGTACTTATTATTTATTATTTGATATTTAATTATTTTTATCGTTTTATTTGCATTAATTTAGTTTTATTTTTTAAAGTTTTTTCTTTAGGTTTTTTTAAATACTTTTCCATTAGATAGTTTACCACAATTGGCTGACATTAATGCTCTCTCTCTATATATATATTATTTGCTTATTAATTAATTAACTTCCCAGCATACTAAACAACAACATTAATAGTATTTATTAGTTAGATATTCCTTAGTATTATATGTGTAATATGTTCTACAGTTAATTTGATCCTTTACTGCATATGGAGAATGACAGAGCTGCGTAAATTCATAGTGTGCATAACGGAGGAAAAAAACTTGTAAACTTGGCAGATTCAAGACTTAATTTCCTGATAACTAATTCTTTAGGTCATATATTCTTCTTTACACACCATCATTATGGATGCGATATGCACCCCACAATTTAATATAACTGATCACATCTTGAGACAAGGACAACGTTGAGAGATGAATGATACGTGCAAGCACAGAGATAGGAAGGAAGAAAAGTGAGAGGGCATTTCAGTAAAGGGGTATTTATAGAGTCGGTTCTTTGCTTGCATTTTAAACTGCGATTGGATAAAAAATATCTGCTGTGCTACTCTTACCATAATGGCATTATACGGATTAATTTTCAGATGACGCACTTTTTACATATCAATGTTTTTCATTCATTTAAGAAAAAAGACAAAAACGTAGCAATTAGCAATGTTGTTTGGCGTAGAACGTAGATCCATATTGGAGAGAGAGATGTAATAAAACAAATTTAGAGAAGTTCTGATGTAGGAGCACTGAGGCGTAGAAACGCAGAAATACCGATGAAGTAGATACTTGATAGCTTAGAAAGTATATACGTATTGATAAGGAAGAATTCGGATTGCATAGAATGCTAATATGTTGAGTTCGTAATACGTAAGAAACTTTTCAGTCTAAACCGATTAAATTACATTTTTATTTAAATTGAAATTTGTGGCCACAATTCACCTGGCACTTTAATTGTGCCTATTTCCAGAAAATTTACATTGATACTGTTGGGATAGAAAGAGAGCACAGTGAAATAACGTCTAAGCCGCAACAAAGGTAGAAGCGAATTACGCAGTTATCCATTATGGTTATTGTAATAACATGACTTGGAGTAAACTGTAACAGATTGACGATGGTTCTCTGCGTAATATCTTAGGGAGACTTTACTGCGTAGAAAGATGACATTCAAAAGAAAGACTTGTAGACAGACCTGGCTGAATTGAATATAATTTTTATTGGTGGATATGAAATAATTATCAAAAATATCTTTTCATCACACATGATCGTGGGCGCAATACGCACCCCACAGTTTTGTATCGAGTATCACATTTTAGATAATGGCAAAATTAGCAGCATGACAAACGCAAACGGAGAGAAGTAGCATCTTCAAACGGAGACAAGTTGGAGAGCTGAAGCTAAAAGGTACTTAATTACCCAATACGGAGGCTCACTAGGAGAAGGTTTCGGCTTAGGTTAGCCCTGTAACAAATTATTAGAAAGGTTTCAGTTCTCGATATTGTGAGTTTATGTTCCGAATTAGTTACGTCATCAGCGTTACGGAAACCATGTAAGATGGGATCCAGAAATGGCGCAGTCTAGGAAAGTTATTACGATTTTTAGAATACAGAAGAGGGATAACGGGGTTGCCACTAGTTTAAGTTATAATTTTGATTTAAGTATTTTTTTATCTTACGCACACATATATATATAAAAAAGATAAAAGTTATCCCAATGTCGTTTATAAACACGATCTTAAAACTGTTGTTGAGGAAAAACAGTGAATACAATCGATATTCAATTTTTTTGTCTTTTTTAGGCATTTTGTGTATTTTAATCTATATTTACAATTTTGCATAAATTCTGTACATTATGTATTCAGAAATATTATATTTTCACTTATTTTTGTTAATAACTTTATTGCCTTTGACTTACTGGTACTTTTCTCCGATCATTATGGTGGTATCTAATTTGAAGTTCTCTTAGGTACTGCGTGCTTTAATTTTGCTACAGGGCTTGATATAAATTTTCATGTTCATAGCTTCGTATAATAAAGGATTTAATTTTACTCTTTCACGAACTCTGTTGGAATTTCAGATTTGTCATGAACAGCTTATTATTTTGTTTAAATTAACTTTCAAATTAATTTGCCAGTACTTAATTGCTACTCAAGACAATTTATCAGAAATGTGTATCTAATTAGATCACTGAAATTCCATACCCTACATAATATGACAGCCAACATTATTTTGCCTGTTCATTTTAGTTTTTCTTTTCTCTTGTATCTTGCATTTGCTTAACTGAGTGATATCTTCCAGTTTTTCCAATGATATCTGCTTAGGTTCCTTATGCATTGCTTGATTAAATTTTGCTATGAGACTTGATGTAATGCATAACATAATGTAGCTTTCTTACTTTATTTTGTTTGCCTTTGCTTGTCTTTTTTATCAAATTAGATATTATTTGAAATTATTTAGCTTATTAATTACACATGCGTATTATATGCGCTTACGTATATCAAAGTCATGCATCTGCTAAACCTGAAACCGGAGGAGACACATAACGAGACAAATATTGTAGAAACAGCTTAAATTCAAAGCCTTTTAGTAGAAATTAGAATTCACATAAATATCTCTGAACTGACGTTTGTTATGAATGCATTTAGATTAGGTAATGAAATTACACAGATAAGCTACTTTGTTTCTTAAGAATGTGTTTTCAAAAAGTAGAAACTATTTCAATAATGAACAGTTTTTTTTTCCTAATGCCTATTACATGCAAATTTCAGAAAAGATGAAAACCGTTCTGTGCATTCTCTTGGTTCTAACCATCTTCATCGCTACTTCTGAAGCTGGCCTTTGTAATTGGATATGCAGAAAAGTATGCAGCACTGCGAATCACTGTGAGACACTTTGCACCCTGCTGTGCACAGATCCCGTTTCAGTGTACGTATAATTGTGCACATACTTAAATATATCAAGCCAGAAAGTTTAACGCAGAATATTAAATGTCTATAATTTGCTTAAACTAATTCAAAATCAATTAATTATTTTTTTAAGTTTTTCAATTTTTAATGGTTGCTAACTGAGTGATATCTTCCAGTTTTTCCAATGATATCTGCAGAAGGCACTACATTTAGTAACCAGAATTTTGCATTTGCAAATTTGTCATATTAAAAGCTTTCGAACTCATCTTCTGGATAATTATATGTATTTTAATATTTCAGGAAAACTTATCGCTTCCCGGGTGCTTAAAGTAGGTATGTATCTTTCGTGAATTTTATCAATTCATATTACTAACAATTGAATTGCTTGAATTCAAGTTTTTAGAAATATTGTTTTATTCTTTAAATTTTCTTGAGAATTTGAGTTTCAGTAAAAGGAGATTAATTTTTATATTTTTATTTCTTATATGTTTTTCCCTTTTGCATTTTTAGTTTTCTAGTATGTACTATTATGATCTTTTTTTAAATTTTGAATTGTTTAGATATTGTGTAAAACCTCTTATACAAGGATGCTATTATTAATAGTGTTGAGGTTGTTTGTTTTGACTCCAATTTACTTTTAACTTTAGATGCTCAAAGTTTATATATATATATACACTACTGGCCTTTAAAACTCTTGCACTGTAAACGAAGCACAAAACAGACATGAAATTGCATGAAAGATAGAACATGTTGTGATAAGCAAATTATTGGCATTTCACGGTATGTGCTCATTACAGGCAAAAGTATTGATCGCTCACAATCGCTGCTCACATTAGCCGAGATATAATGTTTGTTATGAGAGTTTGCAATGAATGGTTCTAGGAAGGCCACTCAGAGTGACATCAGAAATTTTAACCTCTCCCTTTTTACCAGTCCCCGAGATGACAGATATCTTGTCTTCATCACTGTTAGTGCTCATACAGCTACACCACATACCGTGGGTCAGGGTTTTGGATATGTTGCATTAGCACCATGGTATCCACACGTACGATGCGACGACGTTTATAACGTCGCATTGTCAGCAAGACGACCATTGTTACGGCTTCCATTAATGCTACAACACACTAATCAGCTTCTACGGTGGTGTGTTCAGCGACACATAAGGGCATATCAATAGCATGAGCAGTAAATTATGAGGAATCATGTGTTTGCTTATTGCATCAAGATCCGTCTGTAGAGACAACGAGTGGAACGAACTTTGAAAACTTGCGTTCTTCATCGCCATACCGGCCCAGCACATCGATTAATGGTATGAAATGTTTTTAAGTGCACATTTCGTTCACCTCTAGTCCACCTATCCTCTACTTTGACCTGTCACTGTTACATTACTAGGGTTCCAATGCTCACGCCTGTGCCATATCTTTGACGCTTCTGTCCTCTCTCCTTTCAATAGAATAATGCGAGGTGTCCTTTCAGTAGGATAATGTGTTACCTACGCTCTTCTGCATTTCTGTAATGCACAGGATATTAGACTCCTGCCTTGACCTGCGTGTTAGCCAGATCTCTCACCAACGGAAGACATAGTTTCAGAAAATCTGGCACAACAACATCCGCCAGCTAGTACGGTAGATGAACTGTGACATAGAATCGAAGCTGCATGGACTGCAATATTCGTAACTGCCTTCCAAAGTGAGTTCCACTCTATATTCAGTACTAAAAGTACTTGTCTTGCTAGAGACGATGCTCTGGGTAATAATTTTGTCATGATCTGTATCTAAAAAATTGCCTAAAATTTTTTAGTCATTTCATACTCCCATTATAATGTATATGTAAAATAAATATGATTGGGTTAACTGATTTTTTTTCCTAGTGTAACAGTTCTAATGGTTAGTAGTGGACGTATGCGTGTGTGTATATGGGTAAGGAGAAGCATTTTGAACATCGCATACTAAGTTTAAGAAGAAACGTTTGCACACATATACAAGCTACTACACTGTCTACAATGTAGCAGTTAAATGTTCATAATTAATAAAGCAATTGTATGTGTGAGAAATTTGAAAAAGTTTATGGATACGCACCAACAGCTTGGTTCATGCTGTTCCTATAAAACTATCAAAAGAGACCAAAAAAATATATATATAATACGAAACTATTAACAAATGCCCGTAAGCTTTAACAGTACTGTAGGAATAATTATAAAGTCTTAGCTATATAATGTTAATATAGATTAAGTTTATGGAAGATTAACTTATTCATAGTGTTTCAGTTTTACTAGTATTCTGTGACTACGGGACAATTTTTATTGCAGTAAAACCTGTAACGGTGATCCCCTCTGAAAGTGACTAGTACTTTTGAAAGTATAATAAAATGATAGTACTGAATATTACTGACTTTGACGTTCTTTAAAATAGCGGCAGCTAACTTCTGAACTCTTGAGAAAAAGTTTTATTTGAGTCTTTCGACAGCGGGCTGCACAGTTTAGCAAATATTTAGGAACATGTTCGGTAATAATAAACGCCAGTTATTTTAAACTTCTGGTGATATTAATTGTAATCATTGTATGAAGGTAACCTAAGATAGCTCGAAATATTAAAATTGACACAAATTCTGAAATTAGTCAACAATAATAAATTTTTTCACCTAATCACGGGCCATCGAAGCACCCAAAGACAATCCCGAAGCAAATCGCCTGAAACCATCAGTAATTATTTTAGAAAAGGTTTCTCTGTAATTAGCAGCATTTAGAGAAATTAAGTCAGGCATTATTGCAAATATTTCAAAGGAACATTGTCTGTCTTTCTAATAATTAATAAAATGTCACCTTTATTTCGGCTAATTTCACAAAGAAGAGCTCAATACGTTTCTAAACACAAATTACATGCGATATAGAACTGCTTATTTTTTTAAATGAGCTTTTCCATTTTATTGAAATATCACTTAAAAGTCTAATTGTATCAAAATGGATCATTTTTATGATCTCTTAATTACATTTCTCTTTTACTAAAACTTTACATTTTTTTACAGGAGTGATGAAGTCAATTCATTCGTAATTGTCTGTCGTAAAAAAATATTTAAACACAAAATTTACCGAAACTTTGAATATGTATTGTACAGTGATCAACAGTAATTCAACACAACTTTGTAATTAATAAAGGAGTTTCTTTTGAGAAGACGTAATTGTTTTTTCTGTGTACTTTCATCGTAAGGATCATCATAAACTTTTCAAGAACATGCTGAGTTCTCAAGGTCAGCTGTAAATGCCAAGCTATTTCCTGGCTTCCTCCAGTTACTCATAATGATTTATTCTGTTTCACAGTAACAGGCTCATAGAAAATCAATCACTGGCGGTATAGGATGGAGACACCTATTTTCGGAAGGCATCATACTAAACATCGTTCCAAACAACTGTTGAAAAGATAATTGTCCTCAGGCCATCTTATTAAAGAAAATATTGTGAGATATTTCGTATAGTCAACGTCTGTTTGTTTTCGGAATCATGAATAATTACGCATCATGTTATTTTCGCAAAGAAACGCTCCATTCAAGGGAAAAATATTAAGTATTATCAGAAATAGTGGTTGCAATTTTCTTCACTAACAAAAAATGTCATCAAAATCCTATAGCTAAGACAGTTCTTTTTATAACATCTGCAAACTATACAGAGCTCTTAAGTGTATTTAGGAGCAGGAAACATGAAAAATCAGCAATGGCCTTCCAGAAGCTAAAAAACTGGGCATGCTTCCAATTGCACTATAAAGGTACTCTGTAAGATAAGAGAAGAAATCCTTATAACCTTATAGCCTTCATAAAAATATTGTTATAATACAAGCAATTATTGAAAGGCTACGTACAATAGGCATCAGAAAGTATTTAGAAATTTGTATCCTTTTATAATGGCAGCTAATATTTTATAAACATGGTTATTGATTACGTTAAATAATTTTTCTTCATACTAGACAAGTAACAAATTGCACATGAAATAGCGATAAATTATCGCTAAAAAAATTCTCTACGTTCTCGTTTCTTCAAAAACTTGCATTTTAAATTTAGAAAAGAAGTCTATTAAAATAATTATCTACTCATAGCTTTGAGCAGTATTGGTTTAATAAATTTCCTTCTCCTCATGTAAATTATTCTTACTTCAAAATCTAAAAACACACTTCCCAAGTAATTAATCTGCAAAATTCTTATTACACTGATAAAGATTCTGATATGGACATGTTTGTGCATGAGGGAATATGTTTGTAGGAAATAAAAGCTTCATAAATATTTGCTTACATTTTGCCTTTATTGCAAAAACGTGACTCAAGAAGACGTGGCTGAAATAATTTAGGGAGAATTATGTATACTACTGCCAGTTCTAAATGATTCGAACTAACTTCCTTTAACGCAGACATGTTTCAGCCTTGAAACTTTTCTTAGCTTGAAAGAAATGATCATACGACGTTTAGACGAAACCGCAAAAAATCTATTATCAAACCCAAAGTGCATGAAGTTTTACATCCATCTTGATTATCATACTACGCACTATTAGTAGTTTAAATTCATTTTCAGTTGCTCTGCAAGTAATAAATTATAAAGTCATTGATATTTTAACAACATTAGTTTATGGATATGTTTGGGAAGTTTTCAAAATCGTTTCGCCCCTTATTCCATTTTCTTCAAGTTAATTTTATTAGATGCTACGTTCATAAATGTGTCGCATTGCTTAAGTGCAACATGTGCATTTATTTAATGACTTTAGTCAGCATTTCATTACTTAGTTAGAATTTCGTTATTATACTTGAATATTCTTTTCCTTACTTTCACAGTCTATAAAAGGCATGCTGAAATGTACAAGGCTAAATGTCCACATATCCAATGATTCCCACCCTTTTCTTATTGATGGCGCATTTAACCGAACACCCTTATTAACAATAATTAGTTTGTGCTTTACAAGTTACAAAAAGTTTGCATGTGTTTTTAAGGTTAACGAAAAACCACGCAAATAGCACTGAAAATTCAGGAAAAAAATTATGTTCGCGATTTTTAAGTAGTTAGATTATTCTGTTTTCATTTTAAAAAATGCTGATTCGTTCACAAAGGATGATTTTATCACTCTGTTTGCCATCATGACAGATTGATACCGGAAATAAGTCCAAAAGACCATTCTGAAAAGTCTAGAAAATTTGTTCTCATGGTAGAATTGTTTTACAAATTTAATAATTAATATTTTTCATCTAAGTAACGTAATAGTATTTTGCACATTGTTCCCACCAATACACCAAAATGATAAACATTGCTTATTAATTGATGCCTTTAAGCTAAATATGCAAGATATAGCTATGTACAGTTTTTCTCAAACGCGTAAGAGTATACAGTGTCATTTATTTAAAGGAGGAAATCCATTTCGAACTACATTATTTTCTCCGATAATTCATGTGAGGTATTTTCTGAAGCGAAATATAGAAATAATTAAGCATATATTATGGTTAACTATGCAATACAATATAGACACATATGCATACATTTAAAGTAACAAGTGAAATATTTCTAAGTGCTTATCAAAGATTATGAAATACTGCCGTTTAATGGGGAGCTTATCAACTAATATATGTGTCTTTTACTGAATGAAACAAAAAACAATACAGTTTCTAAAATGTTTAAGTGAAGAATTTTCTATTTAATCTTTCCTTCTTTGAAATCCCAAACTTACGCCAAAACACATGCAACTTAGTAATAGCCCAGTGTACTGCAATATACTGAGTGAGCACTTGGGTTACTAATAAATTGTAATCGAAGAATAAACTTCAAAAGGTTTACGGAAAAGGGCCTTCTATGTGCACGAAACATTTTCAGTAGGTTTTTGGAAAATGTAAGAAAGGTAAGATAATATTTGTTTAAAAAAAATGAGAAACTTGATCCAATTGTTTCAAAGAAATATCGAGTCTCTTTCATTTCTAAACGTCCATTCTTTGCACGCTTCGAAATTTCCAGAAGTCCGAAGAATTCTTCACCTTGAAAATAAATAAAAGTTCTTCACACACTACTCGGAAGACGAAGAGGAAAAACATCGATATTGAAATAGCAAATTACTCCCACATTCTCATAATTATCTGTTTGTTCAGATAATTTGCTAATATGTATTATCTAAGGAGGAACATAAGCTTTTGGTCTGCTTTACAGTAACGAAACTTAATAACTCTTTTCACAAGTGATTTTAACTCAAGATCATAACTATAGCATACCACAGTTAAAAGTAACGGTGGGGCAATTCACAAGAAATTTTCATTTATAGTACTTCGTACTTGTCTTAAAATTCACCTTATTGTTCTTCTAATGATCAGATATTCCCTTGATGTTGGTCATACTAGTTGCAAATTATACACTCTTGTCCATAAATTAAGGATAATGCAAAATCAGGCAAAGGAAGAGTTAGAAACAAAACAAATTTGACTTATTTGTAAAGCTCATTTATTAAACAAAAGGTAAAGAGCAAAAAAAGATGCTATATGTTTGATATTATTAAAAAAATTAGCGATTTTTCCCTGGAGCAAATTACAAAAAAAAAAACCTATTTACAAAAAAAAAAAAAAAACAATATTACATGGTTGGTATGATTGTTAGTACATTGCATATCTCCCAGACGATGCAATACAATCCATACAGCGCCTAGGCATGCTGAGTATCAAATTATCGATCTGATCTTAGGGGATATTACACCACTCAAAAAGCAATGCTCTCCGAAGTTCCGGTAGACATGTAGGAGGAGGTTGACGGGCTGCAACTCGTCGGCCAAGCATGTCCCACACGTGCTCTACTGGATTCAAGTCCGGTGAGAATGCTGGCCAGTTCATACGGGTGATATCCTCCGATTGAAGGCATTCGCTTACGATGTTTGCATGGTGAGGACGGGCGTTGTCATCCATAAACACAAATTGTGCGCCCATGGCTGCCCCGAAACAAACGTACATGTTGTTCCAGAATGACGTCCCGATAGATTTGGCTTGTCATGGTTCCAATTTGAACATGCAGGTCAGTTCTGGAACCCAGAATAATTCCACCCCAAACGAGAACTCCTGCACCACCGTAACGGTGTCGTTCCATGATGTTTTCTTGGTGGTAACGGGTACCTGGAGCTCTCCATATGAAAGTCCGGCGAGAATCAGACTGCAAGCTAAACCTGGACTCGTCGGAAAACATCACACAAGCCCACTGTTGCGGTGTCCACAATGCATGCTCTCTACTCCAGGCTAACCGCAAGCGACAGTGAGTTGCAGTAAGTGGAACGCATCTGACATGTCTACGAGCATATAGACCAATCTGTCCTAAGCCTCTGTGCACGGTCTGCCTTGAAATTGTCGTACCAATGGCTGAAGAGAGCTGACGAGACAGGTCTGAGGCTGTGCTCCGCCTGTTTCCTGGTCCTCATTCGGCGTCGTAACTCTGGGGCGACCTGTGCTGTAACGTCTACTCACATTACCATCATCTTGGAATCGTTGCCAAAGCCTGGAGATGACACTCTGGGCAATTCCAAGTTCGTCTGATACTTCCAGTTGGGTACGCCCACATTCCAGACGGCCGATAATTCTACCACGTAAAAAATCATCCAAATGCGTCCTTTGTGTCTTAACTATTCGGTTATTGCACTGAAATGCTTATAAAGCGCCTACGAACAATTTTACTTCTTTGCCTGTATTCCTTATATATCACTCTCTTACAATCTCGTGATTGTGACGTACCATCGGTGTCATCTGGTTACTTCCTGAAATTTGCATATGATTCTTGAAGATGTGTGTAGTGGTTTTAAAGGTGATATATTTATTTTAGAGTTCAATTTCCGCGTGACTCCGAATTATCCTTAATTTATGGACATGAGTGTATTTCTCAGTTTGACCCTTGACTGTTCATTGTAAATTTTCATTAGGCTATAATCCAATCACCTCTTCACAAAATTTGCTACATAAAGAAAGCCTACCGATTAAAATTATTGATTAGTTTAATTTTATAACAATCAAATAAGCTAACATTAAAGCCAAATTTTAGCTTCATATCTGATAAACTGCTAAATGTCCATGTTTAATAAAACTGCTGAGCCTGTAATATGCAAACTTCTATCTGCTATTAAGAGCTGTACACAATATAAGAATTTAAGACTCCAGTCTCACTTTACTTAAAGGCATTGTTGTAAAAATTAA